GTTTTTAGTGCAACTTGTGCTAGATGGTTCATGGGCTCTCACATCTTTGCTGCGAAAAATTTTTTGTATACCGTGTTCACCATTAATCTTTCGTACACCCAACCAGGTTGCAAAAAAATATAAAACCAATTGCACCTTTCCAATTTTCTATGAAATGGGATCCACTCAGCCATATATTCGTAATTATAAATTCTAAGTTGAAACTCTTTTATACAATTCTCAATAATTCTTATTTCAATTTGTCTATCCTTGAATTGCTACATTTCTGACGCCACGTTTCATGAGTGTTATATTCATTACAATATGCACATTTTCCATATTTAGATGCCTTTATCAATTACATTTTAGTTGTTTCGTTTTATTTATGTCACTCTTGAATTTAAATGAAAATAATTTAATATTTATACTTATTTCTAAAAAAAAAAATAGTTTAAAAATTTTCTAATTTTGAAATGTAAAAAAATACTAAAATATTAATAAAATATTAATAAAATAACTTAGAAACTATATGTAATTTTATCAAAAAGCTAAATGCAATACTTTTAACAAATAACTTGCTGCAAATATAGTACATTCATATTAGAGTTCTGCAAATGTCAGGCATGGTGTCAAAAAAACGAATCTCTATCATTTTCCCAACAAACACTTTCCTGACAAACAAAATCCCGACAAGAATTGACCAGAACTAACACCAAGCCTGACCTAATGCAGGCTGACTTGGGATTTTAACGTTGTCGGGAAAGTGGTTGTCGGGAAAATGATAGGTTCCCCCAAAAAAACATAGTATCTGGGCATGCAGGCATTATTTTTTTGTTCAGTACCTGTCCGGCACTTGCAGAACCTTAATTCAGATTATTAATTTTATACAAAATTAAACATTTAAATATAAACTACTAGTGCATCCGTTCCCACAACTGCATTACGCGGCTATCTTATATTTAAAATAATTTAATAATATGATTACCTACCATACACTTCATTCTTTGTTTCTAACACAACTGCGTTGCGTAGCTATCTTATTAAATATTGAAATACTTGTCAAATATGATACTTTCAAAGCGCATTCGTTGGCAAATAATTGAAAAAATCTAGAAGGCTTGCCAGTTCGAGTAATTATCAAACACCTAGGTATTGGCAAGTCCTCTGTTGGCCGAGCCCTTAAATAATTTTATTGGATGCGTTGAAGAACTTCCAGCGCTTATAGAAAGACCACGTTTACTAAACATAAATATCATTAAAGTATGATGCCGTAAATAGTTAATTACTACATTTATATTTACTACATATATTTTTATAAAAGTTTTTTAAAAACTTTAACTGTAGTAATATTTACTACATGTAGTAAATATAATCATATATATTGTCGCGGAAATAAATGAATCTGATTGGGTGATCTGCAAACTTTAGCCAATAGGATTTTTAGATTTCACGATCATCCATAAAATAAACGATATAAAAGATATAATTCTTGTTATAATAATTATAATTACCACCTGCACTTAACCCTGCACTGTGTTTAATTTCGAATAACTAACGCGAATATGCACCTTGCATCATGTAGCTCGAAATCATTCAAGTTCTCGATCGGGCATTTTAACTTTTTAAAATGTTATAAATAAAGTTAGTGCTTATAGATAGTACGCATGAAGCACAACGTCTCGCATGTAATCCGGTTCAAGATAGACAAGTGGCAAGTGGGAATAAGGTCGGTTGTGTGAAGAGATTTCAATTTATAAATGATTCATATAATCGTATAAAATAGATTAAACAATATCAAACTATCGAAGTATTTGGCTTTGTGATTTTTATGAGCTGTCTGGAATTATTACGATCTAGTTCTAACGGAAATCCTCATGATTTTTTAAACAAGTTATTTAATTTTGACAATCATATGAAATAATTATGTAGAAATTAGCCTTAGAATATATGGATAAAAACTCAAAACACAAAACGAAATATATAAAACAAAATATATCATGATGTTTTAATAAGTTAATGTTTCTTTGTAAAGTTTTTAAGAATTAAAAATTTGAAGCCTTGTCTGGTATATTAATGGATTGGATTTACCTGTACTAGATTTAGTACAAGAAATATACTAAAAGTCTCACCAATTAAAATAACTAAGCTTAAAATTAATATGCAACTTACTTACGTCATGGGGCTTCTGTAGTAAATATTATAGGCTCGTC